ACTTGAATATCTGAATTCTTTACAGATATGATATTCATATAAGGTTTTACTCTATTATGTGTTCTTTTATGTGACAATAACTAAATTGTTTGATGTTGAATGTTTGTTACACATCTTAGCAAGCCTCATATACAGGATCAGTGCTTGTCTGTATCATGATTTGTTGCAGTGTATGTTGTTTAAACAAATTTGCCATCTACAGCCAGGGACGCCGGAACTGGGGGGGCAGGGGGGGTGGCTGCCCCCCTTGCTTTTTGCTAGGGGGGGGGCAGAAGTGCCCTTTTAGTTGTAAAATAATACGTGATAAATCACATTTGCAACGATGCTTTTTGTAGAAAAATCACGAGATTCAGGTAATTTATAGTTTATATTTATAAAAATTTTGGGAAATTTTTGGAATTTAGAAAAATATTTTGAAGAAATGGCGAAAATTTAAGATATCCGGAAAAATTTTTCGCTTCACGGAAAATTTTTGTATGTCTGGAAAAAATTTTTGACCCCTAAAATGGTACACTGACCGAAATTTTTTTTGGCGACCGGGGGGGGAGGTCGTCAACAAATTTTGCAGTGAAAAAAAATTTTTCAGTAAAGGTGCCCTTGGTGTGCGTCCGCCCCCCTTTGCCCTATTATCGCTCCGGCGTCCCTGTCTACAGCATTGATTTATTTTTCACAATTCTGCAAACTATTAATGGCAGCTGGCAATGTCACATGTAACACAAGGCCGTCAGAAGTGGGGGGGGGGGCTTGAGCCCCCCCCTCTAAAATTTCCATTTGTATAAGCAAAACACACAAAATAACTAGAAAAGTGCAAAAGCAATTAAAATTTATTCAGATATATTCTTGAGTCCCCCCAATATTGATTTACTTCCGATGGCCTTGTAGTGATCAACTCGAAAGTTTATGCTCCTTTGATCACTACGCACCTTCACTTTATCAAATTAACTTGAAATTATTCATTCAAAACATAATTATTTGTAAAATTTTGTATACATTTTCTTTGTTTTGTAAATAGTGCAGTTCCTGAATAAATCTCCTAAATCTCCTAAACATCCTGCCCAGATTTTTTTAATTCTATAATGCCCTGTATACAAGGTTAGTACCCTATTGAATAACTTGCACACCTGACACCACTATAAAGAAAAATTGGCCGGCCATTGCTAATGTGCCGGTTGAAAGGTAAGCATGAGCT